GATTTTAATTAAAGTGATCCAAAGAAATACATATTTTGTATTAAAAGCCAATTTCTCGACAACTGCTGTCACTAACAGACAGGTATTGTTCATGAGTTTTGACTATTTTATGTTCATTTAACTGAAGATTGATTTCTTATATTTAGGCAGCAATTGATTTGTCGACCCGTATGTTAGCCAAGAGTATAACCCTAAAGCATCTGAACTATCAGTCGAGTCACATCTCGACCATCGAAGGCAATGACGGGGACAGTCGTGAGACCAGTTTGAAGTCACGACCATTGGTGGTGCTGTTGACGTGGTTAATGGCTCAGGACAAACATGTCGACAAATATAGTAATCTCTATCTCCAAAAGGGTTTCGATGTCTTGACAGTGAAGACTAACCCATTTGATCTGCTATTCCCTACCATCGGTTCCCGAAAAATAGCACAAAACTGTGTGACAGCTCTTCAGAAGGAGTTAACACAATATTCATCGGTAATACTCCACGCGTTTAGTGTCGGCGCCTATCAGTTCGGCGAGATTTTGCTGGAAATGCAGGAACAGGACAAACAAGTGGCCGATAAGACACAGCAACTCGAAGACAGAATTAAAGGTATTGTTAAACAACATCTCATTGTATTTGTATCTCATTATTAATATATGAATACTATTTTTCTATCAATTCAAATCATAAGGCATTGTCTTCGACTCAGTGGTTCCCATTGAGGAGTTGCCGAATGGAGTGTCCCGTTCCCTAACTGCCAACCCATTCCTCTACAAAGTTATCAAATCTTCAATCAATGGTCACCTAAAGGTATTCAACAGAATCGCCACAAAGTATTACAGGGCGTCATCGGAAGCCGTGTGGAATATTCACATGCGAGTGCCAGCGCTCGTATTGGTCTCGCAAAATGATAGGATCGGAACCGCTTCGGCCAACAAGAAGTTGACTGATGTTTGGCGTGATTTGGGAATTGATGTGACATTTAAATGCTGGGAGAAGAGCGCACACGTCCAACACCTTCCCAAACACCCCATTGAATACGAAGAACTCATTGACAACTTTCTCAATAAAGTTAACATTACTTCCAATGTTCTTATCAATGATTATTAGCAACCAATATTTCATTTGATTTAAACTTTATATGAATTTAATTTACTTAATAATTTTATTTTTATAAATATTTCATATTGAAATATAAATACTATATTTATTATATAATTTCATAATTTATATCAATTAATTATAATATTCGTGTAATTATATGCTTTTGTATTAATGTCGCATTTATTTCTTTGGAAATTATTATTTAATATTTTGATTATGTTACGATATGTTATTATAAAATAATAAAATGTATTTTTGAATTAATATTTATGAATCATAGTAATTTGTTTATTAGACAAGTTATCATAATAACTCTGGTTTTATACGGTATAAAAATAGATGTTTATGACAATTTTTGTAAAGTTAAACAAATATATTTTAAATGTAAATATTATAAAATTGATATAAAATATAAATATGTTTTAGTAAATAACTTAAAATAAATGGAGAAATTAATGAACAAAACAATGTTTACTAAATTTAATTGGCTTTAGTTTCAATCGATTTTAATTGAGAGGCAAAAGAATTTTCATCTTCAATCAGATGACATGGTTTTCCGGTTTCAATGATATGTCCGTCACTGAGGACTATAATTCTGTCGCAATTCATGACTGCCTCCAATCGGTGAGCAATCGTTATAACAGTCGTGTCGACAAAATATCTATCAATTAATGATTGCATGAATTGATGTGTTTTGTAGTCCATAGTAGCGGTCGCCTCGTCTAGAATTAGGATTCGTTTGCGTCGGAGAAGCGCTCGGACTAAACAAATGAGTTGTCTTTCACCTGAACTCATGTTCAATCCCTGATGAGTTATCTTTGAGTCCAACCCATCAACAAATTTACTTAAAAACTGTGGCCAAACCTCATTAAGACATTCAATTAGTTGACAATCTTTGAATTCATTGCCGGGATCCAAATTGAATCTTATGGTATCCGTAAATAACGCAACATCCTGAGGTATTATGATAATTTCTGACCGCAACTGATCCAAACTGATTGTTGAGATATCTATTCCGTCAATTAGTATTTGTCCCGAAGATAACGTAAAAAACTTCATTAAAGACATGGCCAACGATGATTTGCCTATTAAATACAAAAAAGTCAAATAATGTAAATACTGTATGAATGTAATTTGAAAGGTTATCAATTATAACTTATAATATACTGTATTTTACTGACCGGAACCGGTTCTGCCGACAATTCCTACTTTTTCTCCACTTCTAATCATCAAATTAATGGAATCGATGGCAGGTTTGCACTCTTCCTTATAATAAGCACTAAAGTTACAAAACTCGATGACTCCAGACTTCGGCCAATTGTCCACAACTGACACAATATTTTCAGTCAACTCCAACTCTGATTCCTTGTCAAGCATTGTGTGCATCCTTTTAATTGTAATTAAATCCAAAACAAGTCTCTGTCCGGAGTGTATGAGTTGTGTCAATTTATTAACAAATCGATTGCAGTTTTCGAGTACAAAAGCACCGGTTATTACACTTATTTGATCTCTATTTAACAGAATTATTATTGAAGTCAATAATATGACCGATGAATTCAAAATAGTGACTGAGACTCTCAAACATCGACTTGAAGTCAACAAACAGTATTCAACACCGGTTTGAATGTCGGTTCGGCTGTAAAACTCATTAATGAATGCATTCTGTGCTCCAAATGTGCGAATAGATGTGATTCCGCTAACCGTCTCATTCATATGGTTTTGAACGATAGAGTAGTTCTTGATGTGAAGCTTTTGTAATTGTTTGGATGTCTTCGTGTAAAATTGCTATCACAATAAAAATGATAATTAATTATAAATAAAACTTGTATTTTATATCATTACTTACATTAATTTTAAAGATGACTAATAATAATAATAGCAATACAACTGACAAATAAGAAAATATCTGGTTAATGATAAAAATGATGACTACAACCCAAAACGCATTTTCCATAAAACATATTAAATTAAAGGGGACGGATGTGTGAACATTAAATAAATCACTGGTCAATACAGTGACATAACTTCCCACAGGTGTGGTCGCAAAGAATTGGTAATCAAAATGTATTAAATTTTTTAATAGATCTTTAAAATACTTAAGCGATTGTTCGACTGATAAGTGAAAAACACTTATGTTAGAGAAAATTGTTAAGCAACTGTTTGTTGTAATTAATAACATGTAAACAATTAAACAGAATTGTGACGAATAATTAAAGGTTCTGTCGGTCCACCCGGTTATCCAATATTTAGATGATATTGAACACAAATTTGATATCAAATAAATGATTCCCAAACTGACAAATATTTTAAACCCAGTCCTTTTCAAGAATTCATAAATGTCTTTCAATTGAATATCATTTGATTTATTGTTTGACAAGTTTTCAGTTTTAAAATCAGAAACAGATTGAAAACTTTGGTCCAAATTATTGTCACGTATTTTGCGATTAATGCAAACAATCTCTTCTTTGAGTTCATCAAAAGTGCCAAAACTTTGAATTTTTCCATTATTTAAGATAACAATCAAATGACAAGAATTAAGAAATGAGTGATTATTTGTGACCCAAATTCTTGTCTTATTCTTTAGCAATCCACTGTCAGAAATGAAAAAGTGCCAAAACTTTCAATTTTTCCATTATTTAAGATAACAATCAAATGACAAGAATTAAGAAATGAGTGATTATTTGTGACCCAAATTCTTGTCTTATTCTTTAGCAATCCACTGTCAGAAATGACTTCTTTGAATATATGGTTAGCTGTATGTGCGTCCACACAATTCAGAGGGTCGTCCAAAAGGTAAATATCATTGTCTTGATAAACAGCTCGTGACAGACATAGTCTTTGCTTTTGTCCACCACTCAAATCAATGCCATTCTCACCAATAAGTGTATCATGACCATTCAACATATTTGTAACATCCTGGTCCAAAGCACATGACTGTACAACTTGTTCATACCATTCTTGATTATATTTTGATTCAAAAATAATATTATTTTTGAATGTTTTGTTTTGAATCCAAGTATTTTGCGGCACATAAGCGACCGAACCGTTTACTTCAATTTTGCCTTCAATTTGAAATAGTTCTCCGATTATTGCTGAGAGTAGAGAAGACTTACCACAACCGATATCACCGATTATGGCAACTAATGATTTGGATGGGATTTCCAGATCTAATTGCTTGAGAACAGGCTTCGAGATCTTATTATCCCAACTGAATGTTGCATTATCTATAAGTATAGATGTCTTATACTTATTATTATTGTGTTTGGGGTTTAAATACAAGTCATTTATTTCATCGCAATTCAAAAAATCAATAATTTTTCCGAGGGATGACTGGCTTTTGGTGAGAGCATTCAAATTTGATGGCAAACACAACAAACCATTTTCTATGGTGTAAATGAATGAAATGCACATAAATATAGTCTTCGTGTCAATCAATTCAAATCCATTCACTATTATATAAAACGATAAACAAATCGCAATCGATATTAATCCGGATAATTTCCAAATAAACTCCAGTCCTAAAAATTAGAATTA